CTAAATCTACTAAAAGCTCAATATTTAATGTACACAGTTTGGAACCTGAGATTACACAATAGAATGATCTTTCCTACCAAACTATTGTAACCTAAACACATGTACTACTTTCTAGGGGAATTTAGAATACTCTCAAAGAGTCTCAGACCTCACAGAATAAGCTAGGGAATTCACCCCAAATAGTGATCAGATTAGAGGCCTTTATATAGCTAACTAATCCTTATACACCAAATAGAAGTATTATTCCTACTTTGTTTAGGTTTTGGATCTATATTCTTTATACTAATCCTTTCTGAACTGGGATCCCTTTTTGTTAACTGTAATACCCCTACATTTTTAAACTTTTAAAGCTTATAGAATAAAGTCAAATCTAATATTAATTCCCAAACAGAGCATAAACTAAACATGATAATCGGGGTGCTATGCCACACCTGAGCTAGAGAACCCAGATGCATAGGCTAAACTAACTAACAAAACGTAATTAATATCCAAATACAAATCAAGGCACGCAGGCCATCTCATCAAGCTAGAACTATCTAAACTAAGTCCACGAATCCAACTAGCACGCTCCGAATCTACTCAACTGTTCCTGAAAAATATTTGGTGTAACAACCGTCAGCGAATAATGCTGGTAACCCACTCCAACGCGTTAAGTACAATATAGGTAGATATTAGAAAATCATTTTGAAACTGGAATACATATATATCCTAAGCAAACTCTAGCTTTAAAACCAGATCATGACTTAAGACACAACAACAGACCTGACACTTTAGAACAATCATAAAGACTAGCATGCATCCTAAGAGTACGATATAACGCATAATAGACAAATAAGTTCATAAAGAGCAAATAGATACAACAAGTGAATCAATTAACAAGTAACCATCAAGGCACACAATCCATCTTCCTACCTTATACCAAGTTTCAACCTTGTGGCTCCCCTCCGTCCTTATATCAGTTCCAACCTGTACCTCCAGGACACCCTTATATCACCTCCCTTATTCCTCCAGGCAACTACATGCCCCCACTGACGAACCATCTATCAACCACCTCATATCATGATAGCGCCGCAGTGCCATTCGCATGATCTGTGTCTCTAATACCAATACCAAGGGGTCAGCGCATATAGCCTCGACATGGCACCGCAGCACTTATAACCTAACCCATGCTCAACGGCAAGCAAGTCGAAGGTGGGGTTATGCTTTTAGCACAGTAACCGCTAGGCCTGTACCTTCAGTATAATGACCGGGCACTCGTTGTGCCATTCGCCAATAATTCATTTCCACCAATCACAATTTCATCATCATCAGTCACATCGATCATTGCGCAATGACCATGATACTCATCATCATTCAATCAACACATAATCAATCAATAACAATCAAGACATAACAACAAGGACATGTACTACACATAAATTCCTAGAACGGTACTCAAGACTCATACACGATAAACGGGGTATAACGCGACACGGGGAAACAACAAACGGGAGAAAAAATCACGACGCACACACATTTTCCAGCGGGTGGGCGGCAGGTGGAGGACAACCCGCCGGCCATCCACCGGCGGCAGCCAACAATTCCAGCGGGTACCCGGCGGGCAGTCGCCTGCCCGCTGGAAAGGGGGCACTGGCAGCGGGTAGGTGCTGGGCGTTCGTCCGCCCACTGATACACAGACAACTTTTCGGTCCCGGGATCTCTCGTGGAACCCAAAACCATGTCCAGACACACTCCAACGCATAACGACAACACCACAGATTCAATTAACGGAATTAAATCAAGAATCATTCCAAATACATTCTAACATGATTCCTAAACATGCCAAGACTCCACATCAACCACATAATGGTTCAGGAGCATCCGGAACCACAAGATCATCAAGAAATCTATATGCAAAGTCCTAAATACAAGTCCTAGGCTAGACTCAGCACCCGATCATGCATTGACCCAACCAAATAAAACAAGAACATCAAAACAACGAGATTCACGATATAAATCCTAGGGACAAGCTCTAGACATAATTAAAATACAAGATTACACATATAGTCATTCACAACATCAAGATCATCAAGATTATCAAATAACACAATATAAATCCTAGGCAAGGGCTCTATCAAGACTCAATCACAGAATCATCCATACAATTATCAAAGGAACCAATAAATAAGATATAGCAAGGAAAATAGGTGTTGTAAGACATGGGTTACGTCTTTAGCCCTAATCAATATCCTTGGCTACTAAGGTTCTTCTCTAAGATTCTTCTCCCAATTGATATTCCTAGGATTGTTGGTGGGAGATTTCCTTGGCTGGATTACCTGAGAGTATTTTCGAGTGAGAGGGGGTGAGGAAGGATTCTATCTGCTTCCTAATCCTCTATTTATATGTCTAAGGAAAACCTATTCAGAGTCTGAATAATAAGGCACACTTTCCTCGTTCCCTATGGGATTACGGTTTCTTGTTCAGGCAAAGGTCCACGATTCATCGCGGACTGCCTGGATTAATAGAGAGAATTATAATTGGATTAAACCCCTTTTAATTATTTTAATTAACGGGAATCAATTTAATAATTAATTCGGATTTGAAGGCCGTAACACGGGGCGTTACACCCTCCCCCCTAGCAGAAAGCTTTGTCCCCGAAGCTTAGACGTGACGAGGTCGGACCTAACTGCTTAGTTTAAGGTTCAGTCTGTGTTACCTTGTGCAATTGCTCGGGGTAGCGTTCCCTCATGGTGCTTTCGAGCTCCCATGTTGCCTCCTCAGTTCCGTGATTGGACCAGAGGACTTTAACCATTTCTATGGTCTTTCGGCGGGTTGTTCTTGTCATTGTGTCCAGGATCTTTACAGGCTTTTTCCTCTTAGGACAGGGCATCATCCAAGCACACGATTGTGAGTTGCAATACGTGAGCTGCGTCGTGTACATATTTCTTCAGTTGTGACACGATAAGTACGTTGTGTACCCGCTCTAGTTCGGCTGGCAATACGAGGCGGTAAGCCAGGTTCCCGACTTTTTCCACGATTTCATAGGGACCAATCAATCTAGGACCTAGCTTCTCTTTCTTTCCAAATCTCATCACTCCCCGAGTGGGTGAAATCTTTAGCCAAACTTTCTCTCCCGTGGAGAATTCGGCTTGTTTCCTACCTAGATCGGCGTAGGACTTCTGGCGGTCCTGTGCAGCCTTCATTCTTTCTTGTAGGTGTTTGACTTTTGTTATGGTGTCTTGTAAATACTGTAGCCCCAGAGTCACTGGATTGACCATGTCTTCCGAACATATGGGAGTCCTACACTTTTGACCATATAGCGCTTCGTAGGGTTCCAAACGGATGTTTGCGTGATAGCTGTTGTTGTAAGAGAATTCGATTAGATCTAGATGTTCCTCCCATGTTCCCTGGAAGTCTAACATATAGACTCTCAGCATGTCTTCGAGGGTTTGGATCGTCCTCTCGGTTTGGCCGTCGGTGGGCTCGTGTGAGTAGGAAACAAAAAATATCTATTCTAGTTCTATCATCAGCTATGGGGTCGAATCTAAGAGAAATTCTAGAGAATGTCTGCTATCCTGAAATTTTTTTTATCTTTTCTGAGTGATAAGGAGAAAAAAAAAATTGGGTCAAAAGAAAACGCCATTTTGGAATTTTATCAACAATTTGCTTGCGTAGACGGGGATCTAATATTTTCTGAATCCTTATGGAAGGAATTACAAAAGAAATTTTTTCAACAGAGATGTGAATTGGGAAGGATTGGTCGACGAAATATGAACCGAAGACTGAACCTTGATATACCCCAGAACAATACATTTTTGTTACCGCGAGATTTATTGGCAGCCGCCGATCATTTGATTGGACTGAAATTTGGAATGGGTACACTTGACGATATGAATCATTTGCAAAATAAACGTATTCGTTCTGTAGCGGATCTTTTACAAGATCAATTCGGATTGGCTCTAGTTCGTTTAGAAAATGCGGTTCGAGGGACTATATGTGGGTGGGGTGGAAAGCGGTGCTTAATTTTAGTCTCATTCCCATGGCCATTTGCAGGGATTTCCAGAATTGCGAGAAGAATCTGGGGTCTCTATCAGAAATTATGTTTCGTGGGACCCCGTGATATCTGACTACCTGATTTATGTAGGATCTGGCTAGTTGTGTCATTGTACAAGTCTCTTTCATGGCAATAAACCGCGTTGTATTGGTTAACCGATCCACTATTACCCAGATTTTGTCTTTTCCAGTCCGTGTCGTGGGTAGACCTCCTACGAAGTCCATTGAGATAGAATCCCACTTCCCTTGGGGTATTTAGAGGGGTTGTACGATTCCTTTGGGTTTGCACCGCTCAGCTTTCACTCTTTGGCAGTTTAGGCATTTGCTCACAAAGTCTGCTACCTCCTTTTTCATGTTAGGCCACCAAAATAACTTCTTCACATCTTGGTACAGTTTATCGCCTCCGGGGTGTACGGAGTAAGGTGAACCGTGCCCCTCCTCTAAGATTTGTTGCTTTAGGTGGGGGTATGTTGCGGGTATGCACCATCTCCCCTTGTAGCGGAGGCTGCCGTCATTAAATAGTTCGAACGGCTCGTTATTCCCTTGGACTAAGCCGAGTTGTATCTTTCCGAATCCGGGATCTTGTTGTTGTCCGGCTTTGATTTCTTCGAATAGTGTGGTTATGATCCGGAGATTAAATAGTCGGATCTCCGAATCCGCTTGTCTTTGCCCCACTATTTCTAAATTTAACTTCTGGAATTCTGTACATAGTTCGTCTGCCAGCACCCACGTGGTGTTAAGGGAATGGCTCGTCTTTCAACTTAGTGCGTCTGCCACTACGTTAGCCCTTCCTTCGTGGTATTGGATATCTATGTCGTAATCTTTTATGAGTTCTAACCACCGCCTCTGTCGCATATTCTAATCCTTCTGAGTGAAGATATATTTTAGGCTTTTATAGTCTGTGTAGATCTTGCATTTTGCCCCATATAGATAATGCCTCCAGATTTTTAGAGCAAACACAATGGCCGCTAGTTCCAGATCGTGAGTAGGGTAATTTTCCTCGTGGGTTTTGAGTTGCCTAGATGCGATGCTATCACCTTGCCATTTTGCATTAACACGCACCCTAGTCCCTTTTTAGAAGCGTCGCTGAAAACTTCGAATCCTTCTATTCCCGAGGGTAGCGCCAATACTGGGGCTGTGGTCAATCTTTCCTTTAGTTCCTGGAAAGCTGAAACACAACTGGCGTCCCATCGGAAGGGAATTTCCTTCTTCATGAGTTTCGTCATGGGTTGGGCTATTTTGGTGAAATCAGGCACAAATCTTCGATAGTACCCGGCCAACCCAAGGAAGCTCCTAATCTCTGGAACTGTCTTTGGTGTAGGCCATTCTTTGACTGCGCGGATCTTGGTTGGATCCACCCTGATTCCCTCTTTGGTTATCACGTGGCCCAGGAATGCCACTCTGTCTTTCCAGAATTCGCATTTGGAGAGTTTGGCATATAGTTGTTTCTCCCTCAGGGTTTGCAAGTTCATACGAAGGTGCTTCTCGTGTTCTTCCTTGTCTTGTGAATAGACCAGGATGTCATCGATAAATACAATCACGAAGTTATCTAGGTGGGCCGAAATACGCGATTCATAAGATCCATCAATACTGCGGGGGCATTAGTCAACCCGAATGGCATTACTGTGAACTCATAGTGGCCGTAGCGAGTTCGGAAGGTTGTCTTTGTGATGTCTTGGTTGGCAACTTTTATTTGATGGTATCCGAATCTCAAATCAATTTTCGAGAATACTCCTGCTCCTTTGAGTTGGTTGAATAAGTCGTCTATCCGTGGGAGAGGATACTTGTTCTTTATGGTAACCTGATTCAATTCCCTGTAATCAATGCATAGTCCCATGCTCCCATCTTTCTTCTTGACGAATAGTATGACGAATAGTACTGGTGCTCCCCACGGTGAGGTGCTGGGGCGTATGTACCCTTTATCTAGCAAGTCCTGTAGTTGCGCTTTCAGTTCATGCATTTCTTTTGGAGCCATCCTATAGGGTGCCTTTGAGATGGGGGCGGTGCATGGCATTATGTCCACGGTGAATTCCACCTCCCTGGGCGGGGGTACCCCGGGGATCTCGTCTGGGAAGACATCCGCGAATTCGTCCACCAGCGGGATTGACTGCAGTTCGTTACTTCCGGTGTCCAAATCCTCAACCGAGCATAGAAAGGCTTTGCACCCTTTTGTTAAGTATTTCTTCATCTTCATCATGTTTACTAGCTTGACTTCCGAGTTCTTGGTGGATCCGCGGTAGGATACCCGTTTCCCGTTCGGTCCCCTTAAGATCACTTTTTATTCACCGCATAGAATCTGTGCCTTGAATTTCCCCAACCAGTCCATTCCTAAAATTACTTGTATTCCGTCCAACCTGAACTGGATTAGATTGCTAGAGAATTCTATTCCACCAATGGTGATCATTATGTCTTTATACATGCGATCACATTTCAACACTTCGCCTGACACCACCTTGACTCTTAGTTGTACCCATGTGCTCGTGGTTAGACCGAGCCTTGCGGCAAATTCAATTGCTATGAACGAGTTGGTGGCTCCCGAATCAAATAGTATGACGGCGAGAGTGGCGTGCACGAGGAATGTTTCGCTTACCACGTCGTTGAAATACATTATAGATAGATATATATAGATATAAGAAAAGTCATTTTGAAGCAGGAAGATATATCCTAGGAAACTCTAGTTTCAAAACCGGAATAGACTCGACAGATAAGGATGAGCATATTTAACAGTTATAACCAAGTATGTAAAGATACTAGCATATATCCTATGGGATAAGCACATTCAACAGTTATAACCAAGCATGTAAAGATACTAGCATATATCCTATGGTCACAGATTCACTTCATCTCATTTATATCATCATTCATCTCATCACACAAGCACACTTTGATGGCGCCACACGACCAATCGCATGCCCATACATGAGGGTCAGCGCATATAGCTCTGACACGGCCCCGCAGCACCCTGTCTCATATCGCAATACGAAGGGGTCGATCGCAATCGACCGATGAACCGCAGCTCATCATAATGTTTGATCGCAACCAAACAGTGGACCGCAGCCCAAGAGTGATCATCTGACCTCAGCCAGGAATATGAACCGCAGCTCATGTAATATGTTTGATCGCAACCAAACGGCGGACCGCAACCCGAGAGTGTAATTCTGACCGCAGCCAGCTTCTGAACCGCAGCTCAGGAATAACCAATTTGATCGCAACCAAATTGGGGTATCATGCACACATAACACATAACAAGCACATGCAACTCATATTAACACATTGGGAAAGGGGAGAAAACGTATAAAGAAACCTATGCGTGGTCATCCACAAACTAGGAATAGTCCTAAAGGGTTCATACTTCTTTCACCTAGGCCAACGGGATACCAATTCAACTAGCATGCGATATATAAGACTCATTTATCCAACGAACGATACCCGAAACATCAAACTAGACTTAGGCACGATAAATAGAGTCCGTTGGGACACCACGAGGGTCAGGGAAACATCAAACGGGGAAGCCGGAGTCCCGAGTTGGACAATTTCCAGCGGGTAGCCGGTGGGTGGAGGACCACCCGCTGGCTGCCCGCCGGCGACAAGTCTCCGGGCAGCGGGTGCCCGATGGGCAGTCGCCTGCCCGCCAGCTGCCCGTTACCGGCGACGCCCTTCTCGGGAAGCGGGTAGGTGGCGGGTCCCCCTACCCCCCACTGACTCTTTATCAAAATAAACGTCCCGGGATCCGTTGTGGAACCCGAAACCATGCTTAGACACTTTTAAACGCAATTGATGACACCACATAGACAATTAACGGATCAAAAGCAAGAATCATATAGCACATATCCTATCATGACTTCTAAACATAATCAATGCCCGAGCATGCGAAATCCCACCCAATTATATCAAGAATAACACAATAGAAATTCCCAATTTTAACCTAGGGCTCTAATCATATTCAAATCAATAAAATCATAGTTCATCTTTAAATTACCAAAACATCAAGATTCATCAAGAACATCACATAATCATCAAGAACCTCTTAACATCATCAAGATCATCAAGATCACACATAAAATTACGTCACAATCATCAAGAACATATCATCAATATCATAAACGATTCATCAAGACACAAGTATAGAGAGGAAGCCAAAGAAGATAATGATAGCAAGGAAAATAGGTTTTGTTGAGACATGGGTTGCCTCTTAGCCTTAATTAATTTCCTTGGCTATGAAGGGTCTTTCTTTAAGATTCCTTCTTTCTTGATTTCTCCTAGGGGAATTCTTGGAACTTCTTGTGTGGTGAGAGATTATTTGTGGTGTGAATTCTAGGTGCCTCCTATGTCCTTTTATATATATATATATATATATATATATATATATATATATATATATATATATATATATATATATATATATATATATATAAGAGTCCTAATTAGGGTGTGAATGGTATGGGTTTACTAATCCTATTCCTTATAGGACTAAGGACTTGTTTTAGGGATAAGGGTCCATGGTCCATAGTGGACCATATTAATTCATTAAAGAGAATCCTAATCATAATCTGAATAGTAAAAGGCCTACTTCCTTTATTCCTAATAGATAAATAGGTCTAGGATTCCTAATTAGAATCTGACTAGTAAAAGGTTTACTTTCTTTATTCCTAATAGGCTTAAAACTCTAGTTTAGGCAAGGATCCACGATTCATGGTTGACCTTATTAATTATTTAGAGGGAAATTTAACCAAGTTAAATCATATTTAATTATTATTAACGGGATTAATTAAATAATTAATCCGGGATTGAAGGCCGTAACACGGGGTGTTACACTCTCCCCCCCTTACGAGAAGCTTCGTCCCCGAAGCTTAGAAATCATTACAGGGATAACGAGTCAAAAGTAGTACGGTGGTCATATAGGGAGAATGTATTTTATGGGGAGAATATATAATTGTATATCTATGTGTACGGGGTTTTTTTTTTTTGGAACGATTGGGTTAAATGGATTAAGAGATCAGGTTTCAAACTTGAGGACAAAGTGAATTTAGGAATTAGGATCAAAGTGTTCAAGGTTTGCAACTTTAGGAGGTGAGGTTGCTACCTTGTATGGAATCGTTAAAATAGGGAATCAAGAATGGGGTTTGAAGGGTAGAAAGGGTTTTGCAATAAGGAGGGGCTCGGTTGTCCAAGGGAGGGAAAAGGAGTCGGTTAGGATGGGTTAAGGGTTCTCGATTCAAGTGACTATTCTGGTTTGAAGCTTTGATCACGACGTATTGATGAACTGATGATCCTTTTTCCTTTGGTGTTGGCACTTGCTTTACTTTAAGATCCTTGTCGGACCTTGCTTCCCAAGCTTAAGTTTCATCCTTCTTTTTTTTTTTTTTTTTTTTTTTTATCTTGAGGGAATCTCTCGCGACGATCTAATACTTTCTTCTTTAATGCGTCCAAGGTCTTGACCAAGTTTGGTCAACCAAGCCAATCTTTTAGGGCACACTTCCCAAATTCTTCCCAAAGTCTCTTGGGAGTCGATAAACTTTGGGTTGACTTTCTCTTCTTATTGAATTTCATCTCCTCTTTAGTGAATGAAATTCTTAGTAAGATTTCATGTCTCCCCCGAGGTTCGGCTTGTTGTGCCCTTTTGTGTTTACTTTTAATGATGAAGGTGCCCTTGCATGTGTCTTTTTCTTCTTGAAGCGCAGTTGGTTACCTAATCTCGTTGTGGAATGACTCGGTGACTTTACGAGTCATCTCATTTCCTTGTGGGTCCTTAATAACCCTTGAGGCCTTGGCGCAAATGTGCTCTTTTACCCCTTTTTTTTTTCCTAGCACCACGGGCTACGTCGTTCTTGATTTCATATAACTTGTAAGGAGCCCTCTGATTTGCTTGAACGATATCCATGGTTTGAGGGAGTCCCGGTCCATCCTTAGCATTTTGACTTTTAAGGCCTTTATGAGTCCTTAGCACGAGTTCCAAACTCGCCTCCTTGGTTTGCACAATCCTTCACGCCAATCATCCCTAGTCGGTTGCATCGTAGAGTCCAACTTCAACTCCTCGTGTAATGTAATTGGTCGTGCTTTTCCGACGGTGTCTCGCGTGTCAAGGTCTTTTACCGAGGAAGCCATATTTGGGCAACCCATGGTTCCTTACCCAAAACTCGCGTTCTTCAATCGAGGCACACAAGTGTGCCATGAATCAATAAAACGAGGAGTTAAGAAATCAGCACATTGTACTAGTGGGCGCGAGGTGGGCTGTCGTCCGCCTGCCAAGCTCCTGTCAGGGCCCCGTCAAGATCCCGCCAAGGTCCCGTCAAGGACCCGTTAGGGTCCCATCAAGATCCCGTTGGGGACCCGCGGGAAGGTGACTAGGAAGAGTGAATTCCTTCGAGAAAAATCCCAAGAATGCACAGATTCACGTCCTGACAAGCCCCATGCCTATGTGCACTGTAACACCCCGTGTTACGACCCCTAAAATCAATTAATCATTTAACCA